CCAGAACACACGGTGAACACGAGAGTGGGAAAGGACAGGGCCAGCAGGAGTGTTAAGACGGGCCGCTCTAAACCTTTCACAAAGTCATTATCCCTCTCCTGCTCACGAGACTCCCGTGCCACACACAGTCTACTGCCACAGTGCCACGGGGGCTTGTACCTGTACGCCCAGTCAGGAAGCCCCGAGAAAATAGTAACATGGTCATGCTTCCAAAGAAAGTCCATAAATCCTCAAGTTATAGATAGTGTAAGTTATAGAAGTGGGAAAAAAATGACAAAAAGTCCCAGGGAACTGAGACCCTTTTCATGTAAATAGTTGCCCTCATAACTTATCTTCTGCGTTCACTCATATTTGCACATATTCGAGGGTACATGTGGGGCATAGAAGGGCAAGAAATCCCTAGATTATGCCGTCTTCACCAGCAAACAACCAGACAGGTTTACATACGGCAAGAAGGCTACACAGACCCCCACCTTAAGCCCAGGATCATTTCTTTTCTTTCTTGGCTGCTCTTCTATTCCATATTTAATTTCAATGCAGCAATACTTAGAAATGTTAATTATCAACTCTATGAATGTACCATGAGCTCTCCAGAAGAAAGGTCACCCAATATATTAAAATATCCATCATTAAAATAATAACAAACTACCACACAACGTGTAACATCTAAGTTATACAAATGAGAAAATGGAGGCATAGGAAGAATTTAATTATTGATCTGAGGTTACAGCAATTAGAGGTTGAGGTTAGTGGAAAGAACCTTTTAGACCTCCTGATTTCTGTCCTTTTCTCAGGAGACTCCAATTAACCAAATACCATTATACCCAGGCCTTTAAGGAGACAGCGATTTGCTCAACAGTGTCAAATGTCCCAGTTCCTCTCCTGTTAAACTTAGCGTCTTTAGATCACTAATTAATATGATCTCACATAACCAGCAAGCTCCTTCTCTCATGGAGCTTCTGAGGGAAGACAGCCACTGGCCAACTAAACATGCACTGATTCTCTCGTTAGAATTGTGAGAAGTGCACAAAGGAAGAGAGCAAAAGGCAGGAGCGCCTGGTCCTATGGGGCCCTTGTAAAAGGCCTCCAGAGGAAGTCCAGACCAGGGGAGTCACCTGGTAACGGGGGCAGGGGATGGGAAAGGGGAGCGAGCAAAGGCCCTGCCGTGGGAAGGAGGATGTGTGTCTGGGAGACAAAGTCCAAGGCGAGGCAGCTGAGGGAGGCGGAGGTGTAGGCAGCTCAGGGAAAGGACGTGGGGCCGTGTCATCACGACTGACGGTCGTGGGAGACCGTTCACATGTGAACGCGAAGTCTGTGGCAAAGTGGTACCAAGAGAGAACAGACAAAAGGGGACATGACAAAAGGGGACATGGACGAGCCCACGGTAAGCATGGCACTCAGAACTCTAAGGCCCAGTGAGCAGGGTCCACTCAGACTGGATGCTGCACCTGGCACTGTGTTTTCAGAGTGGCTCGGTCACAGGGAGGTTCAAGGAACCACAGGACTGGCAGCAGGGCGGGCAGCACCCTCGGGGGCTTGAGGAGAGCTGCTCACCGGTCACCAAGCAAAAACTCAATACAGTGGGCAACAAATAGACCATGCCCATGTCACCACTGAACCCCAGCCTCCCCAACACCAGAGATTGGTTGTCCTGGGAACTCTGCCTTAGTCAGTTCCTCCCTCACTGCAAAGAAACCCAAAGCACAGATCACGCAGATGGCCAGCTCCGACGCTAATCTTGCTGCTCTACTGCCGACTCCACAGGCAGCATGAAGACAAACACAATTCAAACAAAACACTAAGGGTAACGGAAACCAAGCACGCACAGAGAAGCTGTGCCGCCACCCGCTGGGGACTGGCATCCGAGTGGTCATTTGCTTGGGTCCCCTAAAGTCCTAAATAGAAAGCAATAGCTACTCCACACCAAGAAGGACACAAAGAACCACAGTAAGGGGCAAGTGCTTTAAGGACACTGGTAACAGAGAGCCACAGGGGCTCACGAGAGGAGAGTTCATTACTACAGAGATGCCATGGAAGTCACTATAGAGACTCGACACTTCCTGTAAAGAATGCTGGAGCTCCAACAGGTGCCACTGGGAAGACAGGCTTTAGGAGCGAAGAGTATGGCATGAGAAGGACAGACATGACATTCAAGGAACAGAGTTCACACAGTTGGCTTGAATGAAGTTTGAGGACACACAGTGACACAGGAGAGGATGAGGCTACACAAGAAGAATCGAGTCAGATTCTGTGATGTGCCTTGGAACTTTCTTCTAATTCTCAACTCTTTTTCTGCTTAAGAACAATGCTGGATGGGGGCTGGCCCCGTGGCCGAGGGGTTAAGTTCACCCGCTCCGCTGCAGGCGGCCCAGTGTTTCGTTGGTTCAAATCCTGGGCACGCATATGGCACTGCTCATCAAGCCACGCTGAGGCAGCGTCCCATGTGCCACAACTAAAAGGACCCACAACGAAGAATATATAATATGTACCTGGGGCCTTTAGGGAGAAAAAGGAAAAAATTTTTTAAAAATTAAAAAAAAAAAAAAAAAAATGCTGAAGGGGCCAGCCCAGTGGTGTAGTGGTTAAGTTCACACACTCCACTTTGGCGGCCCAGGATTCATGGGTTGGGATCCTAGGTGCAGACCTACACATCACTCATCAAGCCATGCTGTGGCAGCGTCCCACATACAAAACAGAGGAAGACTGGTACAGATGTTAGCTCAGAGCCAATCTTCCTCAAGCAAAAAGAGGAAGATTGGCAATAGATGTTAGCTCAGGGCCAATCTTCCTTACCAAAAACACACACACACACACACACACACACACAATGCTGTATTTTTTTTTTTTTTAAAGATTGGCACCTGGGCTAACAACTGTTGCCAATCTGTTTTTTTTTTTTTTCCTGCTTTATCTCCCCAAACCCCCCAGTACATAGTTGTATATCTTAGTTGCAGGTCCTTCTAGTTGTGGGATGTGGGATGCCGCCTCAACGTGGCCTGACGGGCAGTGCCATGTCCGCGCCCAGGATCCGAACCCTGGGCCGCCACAGCGGAGTGTGCGAACTTAACCACTCGGCCACGGAGCCGGCCCATAATGCTGTATTTTTTATGCAATAGCTATAACTGAAACCCTTTCCTCTCTCATTTTAGAAAAGCATATTGGGATGCAGTAAGTCAGACTGATGCAAGGACATGAATCTTCTCCCTTGTTTTGCAAAAGCAATCACACACCAACTTCAATATTTTTGTTTTGAAGCTAATGATAATTGAGATCTTAGTGTAAGTTCCGTCACGAATGCCTTATAGGAATTAATGCAGTTAAACCTTACAACCACTCCATGAGAGACACGCCACTCTATTATCCTGGAGTCAAGGAGACTGCTACAATCACAGGAAACAGAACAGTCGGGGAAAAGCAATGGCGGGGGGGGGGGGGGGGGGAGAGAGAAATACATTGATTTTAAAAATGCAAAGACAGAGGAGCACCAACTTAGTAAATGCTGGGATGTGGGGGTCAAGGAGTGCAGAGGTTGAGCCAAAGTCTCCACTGGGACACCCGGAATGAGGGGTAGCACTGTAGCAGACAACGACATGCCACTCAGTACAGAACGACTGATTCTCCAGGCAGTGCTGCCCTCTCCAGAAAGTGTTCTCCACTGGACAGAGCCCCCCGGTCCAAGAGCACGCCCCCTCCTGAGAGCGGTGTGCATTCAGCACCCGGGCGTCGGAGAGTAAAGACCTAGCCCCTCAGCACACGGCAAGACATCTCTCTGAAGGGCCATCCCAGCTTCAGAGGTCCCGTTAAGTGGGCTGAGACCTTTTCCACCACTGCTGGGAGTCCTCTCCAGAAAATGCCCTCAACAGAAGAAAACTACCCCCACAGGGTAACCTGCATTACCGGGAAATACGGGAGTAGAAAGGCCTGGCCCTTGGTACAGTGCAGGACAACTCTGCAGGGCCGTCCCAGCTCAGAGCTCAGTGGGCCGGCTGAGGCCTTTGCTGATACTGCGCTGAGGCCCGACTTCTCCCTCTGCCCAATCTTGCCTCCTTCTGTTCCCTTCAATGGGTGTTGATCCCAGGAGCAGTGCCTAAGAAACTTCCCACACATTCCTCTCCATATCAGAGAGTGCTTCCCAGAGAACCCAACCTGCAACACACACTGAACTGGCGTGAGCGACACAGGCAGAGAGGGAGGATGACGGGAAGCGACTGAGTTCTGTTTTTCACGTGCTGATTTTCGAGTGCCTATGGAACATCCAAAGGGAGGTGTCCTGCAAGCAGCAAAACAGACATATGTGGGGCTCAGAGTGAAATCTGGGTTGAAAATAAACAGACTACGACTGAAACCCAAAAAGCAGATGACACCCAGGAACAGTGTGAGGAGAGAAAACGGAGGAAAGAACCAGAAGACAGTAGCCTTGACACGTAGGCAAAGATACTGCCTGATACCATCAGTGCAAACACCACGAAGTGCATCCCTGGTTTGGGAAGTCAAGACGGAAGCTGCCCTTGAGGGGAAGCAGGGCCTGGAATGGGGCACAAAGAGGGCTTTGGGGTTCTGGCATGTTTCCGACCCAGGTGCCAGGCACAGGGGTGGTCACTCTGTGAAAATTCACTGAGCTGTACTCTTATGAACTGTGCACTTCTCTATATAAACGTTACACTTTGACATTTACATTTTACATGATACAGGAAAAGGCAAGGGGGACCCCTGCAGAAGGCTTAGAGGTAGAGAGAAAAGCAGTAGAGTATGGTGAGAGAGGGCCCAGGGGGAACAGGGCGTGAAGAACACGGTGGGCAGTGGCATCAGGCACCCCGGGAAGCGTACAGTAAGGAAGGACGGGGAGCCGAGGACACAGTGGAGTATGTGTCTTCTTACCCACAGAGAGCTGGGAAACACCATCTACCCACCTAAACCTCAGCCGGGTGTTTACGTGGGCCAGCACCAAGAGTGCTCTCAATACACTCCCTTGAAAAAAAGTATAGTTTGAATTCACTTACCTTGATCTGACAAAAAATCCAGCATGGTCTGTAACAGGAAGGACAAGTGCCTGACAGAAAGAGCAGGATTCCCCATCCTTCGGGAGGCATAGACCAACTCATGAAGCAAACGCATCTGGACGGCAGCCCAGCCTCGGTGCGTGCCTGCGATGAAAGTCACAACATCATAAAGCGCTTCAGGAGGGTGCACTGGCGACAGAGCAGAAAGCGTGAGCCTCTCTTGGAAATGAGCTTAATGTAATGTATAAAACTTGGTGATTTAAAGACAAATGCCTCAACCAGAAAACTCAAAGAGCCACACAAAACATTTCCCCTGTGCCTTCTTATCCTGGAAAAGAACTCTAAAGTGATGTTTCTTCATACGTTAAAAAAATGTCTCATACTATTCTCTCTCTCTTCCGCAAAGACATAATTTAAAAAATAACCCCACTTTGAAAATATCATAAGCTTAGAACAAAAGATTATGTTTTCAATGGCATGTCTTTGAATTACAGACATACGTTTTTTAGAAAAACACTAATATTTGATGGGCCTTCATTATTGACAACCAAGGACATTCAATTAAAAAGCACAACATTTCTCTAAGGTATAAGTGCAGAAAAGCAGATAACTAAATTAGAAAAAAAGGTTATCAGTGGACTTTCATGGCTGCTTCCTCCAAAATAATTCAGCGTGTTTGAAATTAAAGGCAGGGAAATCAGTTGCACAGCCGTTGAAAAGTATCTCTTTACAATCACAGAATTTTAGAATTATTTATTCCATTTCCCTTTTGGCAACAATTACTACTTTTAAATATTTTCCACCTTAGACTTTTTCATGAAGAAGACATGGTAACAGGAATCCAAAACAAATAAGTTACCACCTGGTGTTGTGCATCTAGGGGCCCTAGGGGCTTGGTAGAAAAGCTGGAGAAAAATATTTAAAGACTCCAATCAAAGGGTTCCTCCTGTCATGGCCCGAATTGACCTCCTCTCCCACTGTCCTGCCCTACACGGCTGACCATCCCTTTTGTATATTTCCACTATATTATGCACAAATTTTGACCCCTAGGCACTATCCGGCAGGTGAAGTGAGGCACCTATAAACTCGTGTGCTTGTTTCTTCCACCAATCCTTAATTTCCCTGGGAGCCAGGACTGTGTCTTATTCATTCTGGTCTCCTTAATGTCCAGCAGGATGCCTGACACACTGTTGGTACTTAACCAGCATGTGGGTCAAGTTGAAAGCCTGATGAAAGAAAGTGCCCCTATTTTTCAGACGTGCAAACTTAAGCATAGAGGGTAAAATGACATGATTTCTGGGATTGGCTGTAAAATACTTCAACAAAGAAAGAGAACAAATAAAAGAAAAAGAATGGTATAAATAAGGTAAACATGGCAAAATCTTGATAATTATTTAATCTAGGTGATGGGCTCACTGTAGTATTTTTTCTAATTTGTATATATTTAAATTATTTCATAGTAATTTTTTAATTGAAATTCTTGGAGCTGAATTTCAATTAAAACCTGCGCGCACACACAGCCATCACTTTATCTCATAGTAGTCTATCTTACAGAAATCTTTTGGAATGTAAAATGGTAGCCCTTTTCATACAACAACAGACAAGGAAAGAAAGATAAGTCCCTTCAGTATGTCCACAATGTCAAAAGAAGCTAAGACCAAATGCCAAAATAAAATACGAGATTTTAAAAAGGATTAAGAAGCTGAAACCAATGCCGTGACTAACCAGCCATGAACTCAGAATGACCCAAACTAACTAATCTCAACACTACCATATTGAGAAGGTTTTCTCATTTAAGAATTGGGGAAATATCACTTTGCTGATTTTTTTAAAAATAGATAATGATCCACTGCCTACCAGAGGAAATTTATAAGTAAGACTGAGTATAAATTTTTTTAACACTAAGTACCGTAGAAGTCATAATTTCTACGTGATTCAAATTGCTCCTCCTATAAAATCTGAATTTTTTTATGCATAAGGCAGATTTGCAGCACATGACCCAGTGATAAAATTTTCAACACTCTTGTATTTGAAAACTTCACCAATTTGAGAGTTTATTACATCAACTATTGCCTTTTAGCGAATCCATTTGCCTTGCCTGCCTCTTTCATAGGAGTTCCTGGGGAAAATTTAATGCCTCACTCAGGAAAAGGCTGAGCAAAAGGTATGGTCAAAAATCTTCATATATAACAACACGAATAAGATTAAAATGATAATAAACAGCCCATAAGCTGGCAAATACACACAGCACACATCTGTGTTTCCATCTTGACTTTCCGTAACCAGCTATTGAAAATGTTCATTTCAAGAAATAGGTAGAAACACATTTCAGGTCCCGAGAACACAGACAATTCACCTTTTATTCACAGCTACCGGGTTTAGAAGATTTCCATTTAGTTCTCTGAGAAAGGTTGAAAGTGGTCCAGAGCAACAGTAGTGATGGGTTTAAAGTGATTTTTATTTCTTATTAAAAATATAGCCAGCTAACATCTATCATTTTTACTTTATCTGATGTCACTCCCTTACCTTCTTTCCCCAACTCCTTTCACACAATGATGGTGAATGGCCGCCCCCCTCCCCCAAACAGAAGGCCAAGCAAAAAGTACCAAATCACTTGGAAGTGTGCTTATTTGTTTCATTTTTCAAAAGAAACATGTTTCATTCATCTATTTAAAAATTAAGATCAAGAAACAACCTCTATACAGTAAACGGCAACAAACACGTGTCATTGTAGCTGCTCATTAGGTTTGTTCCCACACCACACACATTTACTTGGACACCTGCCATGTGCCAGCAAGGGGACAAGGTGAGAGTCGGGGGCTCTGCTCCCACGGGGTTCACAGGCTAGTGGGGGAGGCGGATGTTAAATCACTGCCCCAGGTGTTTTTTAAATGAACTTACAAATTATGGAGAGTGCTGTAAGGAAGAACAGAAATCAACAAAAGAGGACGGATAAAAGGATCTCATTTAGGCTGAGGTTCCACTTAGAGGACCTCTCTGAAGAACTGACATTCAGCTGAGACCTGAAGGGTGCCTGATTAAGCAGGTGAAGAACAAGGGACGGACACTCCTGGATGAAGGAAGAGCCATTAAAAGACCTCTGACAAACAGACTCAGACATCAAATATACCTGGCCCCAGTTTAGAAAGAAAAAAACTAAGACAACTCCTAGTGTAAGCTGCATAAAGCCCAGGTGGATTGCTTTTACTCTGGAGCCAGCCTGCGGTTCTATTCAAAGGATACAAAAAAAGTAACTGGAAAGCAATTTCGATCTTTCCTGAAGGCTCTCAGAAGCCAGCTAATGCAGATTCCATTCAGAGCGCACATGGAAACTTTTAAAACGCCCTTTCTCGTCTCTATAGAGCAATGGTATCACTGCTTTAATCCTCTTCCCAAACACTAACCTCGCCCCATGAAATTTCCCGGGAACAGAGCCCAAATGAGCTCGGACACACAGCTCTCCCCTTGTCAGGCTCAAAGGTCTCTTCTCGTCTCTTCCACCAATAACTCCTAGCCTTTCAAGTGTGAATCCCACAAATTTCTGGGGCTTGTCCAGTGACTTTGCCCTTAATTCCAATCACTGCTACCAGAGGGCAGGAAAGGGGGCTACCCTGGCAACATCCACTTCTTCTCAAGGGGGCACAGGCCTTGTCACACTTGGCAGTCAGTGCACTTCATTTCACCCCTTTCTGAGGGCAGCTCTGGAATCAGATCTCACCTGACAGTGTTCACTGAGCACTGTCCTAAGCACCTCACAGGGACTGACTCATTCAATCCTCATAACATCGTCCCCACGAAACAGATAAAAACCATCATCCCCATTGTACAGATGAGGAAACAGAGACACAGGACACTGAGTGACTTGACCAAGGTCACACAGCTAGTCGGTTGTGGCATCCACCCTCTCAGGAGCTGCACAACCTTAGGAACAACATTTAACCTCATCAAGCCTCTGTTCCCTCAAGTGTCACAGGGGGTTCACAGCACCCACTCACCAAGCTGTGAGAAATGACGCTACACATATGAAACCATTCACCATGAGGCCACAGGTAGCCTTGGTGTGGCTTAGGAAAAGATGTCCCTCTGGGAAAGCACAGCCCACAGGCACAAGGCTTAGCAGGGTGTGCTGAGAGAAGAACCAGTGTATGAGACAGACAAAGGGGCCCTCCATCTGGACTTCTCCAGCCCTGAGCCAGGGCAGAGAGCTGGGGAAGCGCAGCAGGCTCTGGGTTTCAGCCCTCACCTGTGCCGGTGGCCAGCACCCTTGTGCAGGCCACAACCTCAGGCAGGGACCCTGCCTAGCATAGCAACTGCTCTATGTTCATCACTTAAAATACTGGGAAATATTGAAGAAAATGTGAACAATCACATTTTGACAACAATCAATTTTTTCTCATGTCCAATGAGGACAACTTTTTTTAATAGATAAAAATATCCTTGACTTCAAGACTCACTATAAAGCTACAAAAATTAAATCAGTGGGTATTGGCAAAAGAACAGACTAATAATCAGTGGAACAGAACAGAGAGCCCAGAAACAGACACACCTAAATAGAGTCAAGTGGTCTTTGACAAAGGAGCCAATGCAACACAATGGAGCAAAGACAGTCTTTTCAACAAATGCTGCTGGAATAACTGGACATTCACATGCAAAAAAGTGCATCCAGACACAGACCTTACACCTTTCACAAAAGTTACCTCAACATAGATCACAGACACAAATGTAACATGCAAACTATAGAACTCCTAGAAGATAACATAGGCAAAACCTAGATGACCTTGGGTTTGGCAATGACTTTAGGTACAACACCAAAGGCACGATCCATGAAAGAAAGAACGAATAAACTGGACTTCATTAAAATTAAAACCTTCTGCTCTGTGAAAGACAATGTCAGGAGAATAAAACAAGCCATAGACTAAGAGAAAATATTTCCAAAAGACGTATCTGATAAAGGACTATTATCCAAAATATACAAAAAATTCTTAAAACTTAACAATAAGAAAATGAACAACTCAATTAAAAAAAGGGGAAAAGACCTGAACAGATACCTCACCAAGAAGACACAGAATGACAAATAAGCATATGTAAAGATGCTCAACATCATATGTCATGAGGGAAATGCAAATTAAAACAACAGTGAGATA